CCCAAGCAAGTGCAAGCATGCAGGTATATATATAGATCACAGTACAAGCCAAGTCACGCAGTAAGCAAGTGAGCCAAAGTAGGCACAAGGCCTAACACAGTAGAGAAACGCTGATGATCACCAGGCGGAAGTGCGTTGGTGAATATATCAGCAGTGTTGGCCCTAGTGGCCACGTATGCAAGACGAAGCTGGCCACGCTGCTGCAACTCTCGAGCAAGGAAGTATCCCAGAGCGATGTGCTTCGTTCTGTGCTCCAGTCTGTGCTCCTAACACAAGGCAATCATGGCCTTGTTGTCTACGTATAGAACTGGAGGTGAATGAGGCTGCTCTCCCAAGTCAGTCAGCAGGTAGGTGAGCCAGCGTAGCTCCTGTGCAGCCATGGCCCCGGCGTAGATCTCAGCCTCACAACTGGAGCTGAGAACCAAAGACGAGCGGGTAGACCGCCAGGAGACAGAGCCAGAACCAAGGCTGAAGGTGTAACCCTGTGACGAGCGCTGCGTAGCTGAGTCCTCAACCCAGGAAGCGTCTGCGTGACCGGTGAGGACAAATTGACCCCGTCCTCCAAGCACGAGCCCCATGCCTGACGTACTGCACAAGTAACGCAGTACCCTCTTCGCAGCATCCCAGTGCACCTTTCGGTGCCTACCGGGAGCCACGTAGCGAGCCAGGAGGCTGAGAGGGTACGCGAGGTCGGGTCAAGTGCACGTCATCAGGTACATGAGGCAACCCACAAGCTCTGGGTACGGACCCCTCAGCTCTGTGGACTCGTCCGAAGGTGGAGCTGAGAGCGAGTGACTGGTAGACAGAGGATTGGGCTGTGGCGAGGAGAACTGGAAGCCGAAGCGCTGAATGACCTGGTGCACCATGTGTGACTGAGTCAGGGTAATGGTGCACCGAGCTCTGTCCTGGGTGATCTACAAGCCAAGATAGCTGCGCAGTTCACCCAGGTCAGTGCAGGTGTGTCTCTTCTGCAGCTCTGACTTCACAAGGGTCAGTGCCTCAGTGTCAGCAGTGGCAAAGACGAGGTCGTCGACGTAGACGAGGACGTAGAACGGCGGCAGCGAGGTGTCGGTGCGTAGAAACAGCGACGGGTCAGCAGTAGCAGGAGCAAACCCAAGAGCCGCAAGTGTAGTCCTCAGTGTGTCGTGCCACTCGCGAGGCGCCTGGCGGAGACCGTAGACTGGCCATCGAAGACTCCACTGAGTACCTGCATGAAAAGACTCAGTGAAACCAGGTGGGCGGCGCAACCAGATCTCCTCGTGTAGGCTGCCCTGTAGGAAAGCTGTGCTGAAGTCCAGGGAGTGCAACTCGTAGTCACGCTGAGCAGCGACGTGCAGCAACATCCGAAGAGTAGTCATCTTCGGGGTGGGGGAGAAGGTCTGGAAGTAGTCATCCCTGTCGTTGACTGAAGCCTCTAGCAACGTAACGCGCCTTGAAGGCAGGCGGAGAACCCGGCGGCCGCTTCACCCTGAAGATCCACATGCCATCGACTATGTTCGCCCCAGGTGGGGGAACCTCGTCGACGTAGGTGCCTGTGGACTTCCAGGATGCCATCTCGGCATCCATGGCTGCCTGCCACTGAGAGGAGTAAGGACCCGTAATCGCCTCTGCGTAAGAGCGCGGGGTCGGGATGTCTGGTGCATCCGGGTCTCCCTCAGGGGCCAGCAGCATGGAAGCGAAATGAGGTGCAGCAGCTGCAAGACACTCAAAGTCCTCCTGCCTGTCCTCAAGGACGTCCGTGCCAAGAGCACACTCACCCCCGACGGACGGAGGACCGGCAGACGTAGAGTCAGTAACGAGAGCAGTGGTTTAGTCTAGACGGCAGGCAGTAGCAAAGTCAAGCAGCTCAGCAACAAGAGCAGACGCAGCAGTTGACTTAAACGAAGGGTCTATGACAGCAGTGGCAAGGAGACGAGAGATAGAGGGATGGACAGCACGAGCGCGGTCAGACTTAGGGTCAGGGACCTCAGGAAGAGAGGACTCAGGAGGAGCAGGCAAAGGAACACGTAGAGGAACAGAGGAAGGATGAAGGGTCATACCATGCGTGCCGGGGACAGGAGGAGGACGCGAACGAGGAACACGACGAGCAGTGCAAACAGGCGAGACAAAACGAGACGCAGGCTCACGACGCTCGGTAAGACCGCCAGACTACTCAGTGTAAGGAGAAGGAGCAGGCAGTGGAGAGGCCGGCTATAACGGCGGCTGCGACTGGTCAGGCGGGGGACACATGATAGGAGGAGTAAGGCTAGTAGAAGACGGGGTACCAAGAACCTGCTGAAGCAGGGGAACGAAGTACGGTCGCGGCCGCACAGCGCCACCAGGGTCAACAGCTCCAGCTCCTCCAGCTCCTCCTGCTCCAGCTCCTCCAACACCAGGGCCTCCAACTCCAGCGCCTCCTGCGCCAGTGCCTCCAACTCCAGCTCCTCCAGATCCAGCGCCACCAGTGCTAGGAGCACCAGACTCCGGAAGGTCTCCAACTCCAGCACCCTCAACACCACCAATCCCGGCAGCTCTAGTACCCCGGGTACGAGCACCTCCAGGACCAGTGGTTGCGGTACCTCCTGTAACACCAGCTCGAGCAGCAACTCCAGTACCTCCAGCTCCAGCCGCGCCAGTACCTCCAGCCCCAGAAGCTCCACTCCGAAGGCGCGTACGCCGAACAAACCACTCACGCAACTGCTGCGGAGACAGTCTCGGCGAAGCACCAGCAGAACCTCCAGACGAAGCATCACCCTTAGGATCCGCACCTCCAGACTCCGCACCCTCCGACGCACCACCCCCAGGCTCAACACCCTCAGGCTTAGCACCCCCAGGCTCACCACCCCCAGTCGCAACACCCCCAGGCTCAGCACCCCCAGTCTCAGCACCCTTAGACTCCGCACCCCCAGGCTGCACACCCCCAGACGCAGCACCTCGAGGAGCACCTGAGCCGACAGCTACCTGAACAGGCGCAAGACCAGGGAGAGGGTCTACCTGAGACACACCTGAGGGAGCAGGACCCTGGGGCGGGAGGGGGTCTACCGGAGGGGGACCGGGAGCAAGGAAGAGCGGCGGGGGCGGGGGAGGAGCAGAGTGGTAGGGGAAGAGACGGTAAAAGGGGAACCCACTCGTCAAACGTGTCGTCCTTAGAAGGGAGGACACGCCGCGAGGTGGGGTGGTAAAACTGCCAGCCAGGCGCGTCAGGGACAAAGCCAAGGAAGACGCGGGGGATAGCACGGGGGGAGAACTTGTCCGCGATACGTCAACGGGATCCCCAGACCCGGAACACCGACGCATCGCCAACCTCCCCCGTCCAACGCCGTGTGGGCGAGGTCTCCGGCAAGGAGACACGGGGCCAGAGGTTGAGCTGATCCGCAGCGTACTGGACCACGAACGGCCACAGAAAATGGGGAGCAGCCGCATGGATCATGGAGGTGCGAGCGACCTCCATGACTAAGCCAATGCGGCGCTCAGCAATCCCATTTTGCTGAGGGGAGGCTGGAAGCGTGAACGACTGGAGAATGCCCTCCCCACGACAAAAGTCCCGCAAGAGGTTGGAGGAGAACTCACCACCTTTGTCAGAGTGCAGACGTAGGACAGGAAGGTCCTGGCCGAACCGCTCGCGGAGCTGGAGATGGACTGTGCGGATCCAAGGGATCAAGACATCAACAACCTGACCCTTGCTGCGCAAGGGGAAGACCGTGGTGTACCGCGTGTAGTCGTCAACTACTAGCAGAAAGTAGCGCTCGCGGCTCTGACCACTGACGCGAGCTGGGCCCCACACGTCCATGTGGAGAGTCTGCATGGGAGCAGTCGTCGGGGGGAACAAGGAGCAGTGACGAGCGGCGCGCTGCCGGCCCTCGACGCAAGGAAGGCAGGGCGGGGCAGGCGAGGGCGGCAGGGGAGGCAGAGACCTGGGTAGACCAGAGACAAGAAGATGAGAGTGCATGCCACGAAGGCGTGGCAGGGAGTGATGACCCAGGCGGTGGTGCCACAGAAGATTCTGGTGCGACAGGAGGCGACACGAGCAAGAGGCGGCTACCTGACCTGACGCGGACACCTGAGCAGACGCAGCTACCAGAGAAGGATCGGTAGCGAGTGTGTACAGACTCGACCCTGGCCGACGAGTGAACATGGCCAGGTGACGCCCCGTTCGTGTGCACGTGCATATCGACACACGCTGACCCCCAGGAGTGGTGGCAGTGACCATCGCATCCTGGAGGGCAGCGGTACTCACCAAGTTGGTAGAGAACGAGGGGAGGTGAAGGCCTGGCAGTGAACTGGACGGAACTGCCGGTCACAGGAGGAGAGTGGAGGAACGGGCCACTACCGATCCCCCGGAGGGGTCAGCCAGTCTGACCGGGACAGGTGCAGGGAGAGGAGTGAGTGTGGTGCTGTCACGAAAGAAACAGCGCGAGGCGCCTGAGTCCAACATGAAGGTGTGCAAGGGCCTCAGCAGGCGCAGTACCAGGGAGAGTATCATACTCACTAGCACCTAGAGCAACACCGCTATACCTAGGTCAGGCGGCACACACCGGTAACAGTCACCCTCAGCACTAACAAACAAAGCATACATAGCACAAAGAATAGCATCAAAGTCTAAGTCAAAGATAGCAATCCTAGACTTAAGCAGATCTGCCCAGCGAGGGAGCTCGACGTCGTCACCAAACTCAGCACGCAAAGCGTCATCGAGGCGGGAGAAGCAGCAGTGCTGAGTGTGGAGCCTCCCGCAAGTCTGACCAGCAAGGTCACCCGTGCGAATGACATACGGGCAACTACCCCCAGACGCCCCACGCAGTAACCACTCACGAAGCTGCTGGGGCGACAGGGTCTCGCTCCGACGCTGCTGCTGCTGACGCTGGCCACCTCCAGAGCCACCACGCCGAGCGCCATTCCCACCTCCACCAGTCCCACTGCCTCCACTGCCGCCACTCCCACCACTGCCTCCACCGCCGCCACCAGAGCCCCCACTCCCTCCAGCAGTCCCACCGCCGCCACCACCTCCACTGCTGCCCCCACCACTACTCCCGCTGCCACCTCCACCACCGCCGCTGCCACCATCCACCACCCTTGCCACCCTTGCCCTTGCCGCTGCGGCACTTCACACTAGCAGAAGCAGCCCCGACGTCCTCAGCAACAGAGACGTCAGCAGCAGCAACAGAGGCATAGGAGGGGGCAAGGGGGGAGGGGGAGCACCCCTCAAAGAAGGGCGGGCGCGAAGTGCCACGAGCAGCACCTACAGCAACTGCACTAGTCTCAGCTGCAAGGAAATGCTGCTCGAGGAGGTCTACAGTGAGGGAGGTGGGGTCAAGAGAGAGGAAGTGGTCCCTGACAGAGCGAAGAGAGTCAGGGAGGCGAGTGATTATGAAGTAGAGGGTGATGAACATCGGGGGCAGGTTCTTGTCATGGAACTCAGCAGGGACAGAGGCACGGTAGCGAGTGACGCTAGCGCGAAGGTGGGAAACGAGGTCCTTGACTGTGGCAAAGGAGGACAGGTCGGGGAACAGGTAGGGCAGAAGCAGGCGACCGAGAGCAGCAGTGGCAGGGGAGGAGTAGCGAACGACTACACCGTCGTATAGTGCCTGTGCGGTCCTGTGCTGTCCGAAAGTGAGCACATTCGGCTAGCGGCAGGTGGTTGCGAATGGCTAAGCGGGCAGCAGCGTTGCGAGAAAGCCACTGTGAGCGAGTCGCACTGTCAGCTGTGGTGGGAGGGGGCAGTAGCGGCACCGGACACGTGGTCAAACAGGGAAACACCATCCTTAATATCGCTCAGGAGGTACAGCTGCAGGTCGTCGAGCCACGTGTCAAACTGAACCGGTCTACCGTCATTATCGAATGCGAGAACCCGAAGCGAGGCCATAGCTGTGAAGTCGGCAGGAGCAGTAGAAGCAGCAGTAGCAGCAGCACTAGTGGCTGTAGAAGTAGCCGCAGTAGCGACAGTAAGGAGAAGAGGGGGGGGGGGGGGGGGGGGGGGGGGGGGGGGGGGGGGGGGGGGGGGGGGGGGGGGGGGGGGGGGGGGGGGGGGGGGGGGGGGGGGGGGGGGGGGGGGGGGGGGGGGGGGGGGGGGGGGGGGGGGGGGGGGGGGGGGGGGGGGGGGGGGGGGGGGGGGGGGGGGGGGGGGGGGGGGGGGGGGGGGGGGGGGGGGGGGGGGGGGGGGGGGGGGGGGGGGGGGGGGGGGGGGGGGGGGGGGGGGGGGGGGGGGGGGGGGGGGGGGGGGGGGGGGGGGGGGGGGGGGGGGGGGGGGGGGGGGGGGGGGGGGGGGGGTGGGGGGGGGGGTGGGGTGTGGGGGGGGGGGGGGGGGGGGGGGGGGGGGGGGGGGGGGGGGGGGGGGGGGGGGGGGGGGGGGGGGGGGGGGGTGGGGGGGGGGGGGGGGGGGGGGGGGGGGGGGGGTGGGGGGGGGGGGGGGGGGGGGGGGGGGGGGGGGGGGGGGGGGGGGGGGGGGGGGGGGGGGGGGGGGGGGGGGGGGGTGGGGGGGGGGGGGGGGGGGGGGGGGGGGGGGGTGGTGGGGGGGGGGGGGGGGGGGGGGGGGGGGGGGGGGGGGGGGGGGGGGGGGGGGGGGGGGGGGGGGGG